TGACCTGGGTCCCTGGGCCAGGCCTGCTGTGGCATTCTCTGAGCCAACCTGAGTGTGTGACTGAGCCAAGCTCCCAGGATGTCAGCTGTCGGTGGCAGTAAGCAGTGCAGAGCAGAGTCGGGCACACGCTGGGTCCCAGGGCTGCTGACCTCCCTGGCCCAGGCCCGGCCTCAGAGCCTCTGGCAGCCGCAGGCCAGGCAGAAGCGTCCAGGCTGAGTTTCCCGGCCAGCCTGCCCTGTTCTATTTACTGGTTTTCTTTCAATGTTCCCATTACTCAGGCCTCCTCCAGTCGGCACTGAGACAGAAATAAATCACGCAAGGCAGCCCAGCCAGAGGCCGAGAATCTGATTCCCCCTCAAAGGCCAGAAGAGGCCCCTGGGGCACACATGCCAGACCACAGTGGCCCACACACTCCCCACAGCCACAAATGTGGCTGCACACATCCAAGCACACGCATGCACGTCTGCATTCAGTAGTGCTTCCACACACCCCATCCAGGTGTGCACATGAGGACACAGGTCCCCACTCACAGATGGGTCTTGGGCATTCCGCCCCAGCACCGATTTTGCACACATGTGCATGCATACACACACACATGCACACGCAAACACACCTATGTACACACATGCATACACACACACACACACACACTTAGACACACTCGGGTCACAGCCATCCTCGCTGCTGTGCCGAATGGGAGGGTGCGGTGGCCGCAGCCACACCGCCCCTCAGCAGCTCTGGAGAAGCCTGGCCTCCTGGGAACACAGGCCCAGGGTTGCCAGGGCTTCTGAATTTTTAAGAGAAGCTGGAAAGCTGAATTTTTATGTGAAATATCCTGATTTTTAAATGTTGGCTCACGATGTTGAAAATACTGGGCGGGCCAAACCAAACACACGTCTGGGCCAAATTCCACCCACAGGCGGCGTTTTCAGACCGTGGTTACTCACACACACACACACACACACACACACACAGACTTGCACACAAACATCCAAACAGATGACACTGGTACACACAATCACGCAAACCACAAGAGGCAGACACATACAAATGGACATTCTAACATACTGACAAACACTTGTATCCAAATAGGGCCCCCAAGAGACACATGTGCAAATAGACACCTCCACGAACAGCGACACATTGACATTACAGGCCCAAATACACGCGAGTCCACGTACACACACATGCGCGCTCACACACGCGCCCTTTCTCTCACCGATGCCCGTGTGCTTTGCTAGGACAGGTAGTGTGACCCGACACTACCTTGTGGAGAGGGCCAGGGTGTGGTCAACACCCAAGCTGCTCTAGCAGACATAAAGGTGAGAACAGGGCCGGTGCTGGGACAGGGGGCCCCAGGAGAGAGGAGTGGTCAGGCTAAGCGATTGGCATGGGCAGATGGGGGGCTGCTCACACCACACCTGGGGCGTGCCTGACCGCAGTTTAAGTCACTAAGCACCAGAAGGAAGCTCTGGTGGCCGTCAGGTCCCCCTGGGGAGCTGCTTCTTCCCCAGTGGCACCTTTCCCCGTGGGGAAGCAACGCCAGCCAAGCCCACAGTGTCCCCACCTGAAACCGAGACAAAACCTGGGGGCCATCCTAACAGGAAGCCGCTGGGGGCTCTGAGGCCCAGCCCTCTGCCAACACCAAGGCTGGGGGAGGCCTGAATGATGGGCCATCATGAACGGAGGAGACGACACCCAGCCCTGGCCCTGTCCTTGGCAGATGGGAGGCTGAGGGCAGAGGGGTGGCTGTAGGCCTGTGCTAGGTAGCTTGCGTAGACCATGGCCACTCTCGGCCCATCTTGCTGGGGCTGCTGGGGCCCAGCCCTTGGGCAGGTCAGTCCTGTCCTGGGTGCCCACCTGCCACCACTTGGCACATCTGTCCATAGAACCATGACATTGAAGAAAGGGGGCCTGTCACTGGGAGATGTCCTGGCCCCACACCCATCCAAGGGCAGCCTAGAGCCCTGTCCAGGCAAACCCAAGTCCAAGCAGGGGCTCACGAAGGCCAGGCTGGGGTGCTCGTGAGAAGCTGAGGCTTAGACGGCCAGGCCAAGCCCCTGCTGCTGCCCTGGGCCATGGTCGCCTCAGTTGGGATCTCTCCAGGAGTTCATGAAGGGTTCAGGAAGCAGACCCAAGCCCGCCTGGGCCGAGCTGCGCACAAACCCACTCCCTGGCCCTCGGGCTCACTCCCCCACCGACGTCTCCCAGCATCCAGCAAGGGGAAGACCCGTGTCCCCTCATACCTTCAGATGCACCGAGCAAGGCTGCAGCCTCAGCCCCCTGGATCATGACAGGGTCATGCCCCTTTGGCGCTCTCTGGCCTCAGCGCCAGCATTCTTTATGGGCTGCCCTGAACACCTCCTGGAGGAGGGCTGGCTTGTTTGTCCATGCTGGACATGTGAGGCCCCGCTCAGCCCTGGTACCTAAAGGAGTAGGGATGAGTAGAGGCGTCTCTCTAAGCCCTTAGCGCCCCCAGCCCCCTGCCCATCCCACTGGGAGGAAGCTTGGAACTTGTCCGGCGTCCCCTTTACATTTAGTTCTTCAGAGGTTCCCGGCAGGGGGGTGGTGGCAGCAGGGGCAGGAGTGGCACGGTCTGTTCCTGAGATCTAAGGGGGTCTTCAGACGTTCTGCTCCCCATGGCGGGTGAGAGGTGGCACTCACCATCTCACAGTCCCGAGGGTGGGGCAGCCCGCGAGGTGCCTGAATGCAGTGGCCTGGGGGAGCCCAGAAGTTGGGGTCTCGAGGTGTTCTCCCTCCCTCCCCCGCCCCGGCCCCCCGCGGCACGCCTGGTGTTTACATGTTCCCTGCGGCTTGGCTGGGCTGTGAGACCTTGCAGGGAGAAGTGACCACCTGGCCCCAGCCCCTGCTCAAGGCAAATGGCCCTGCCCGCCTGCCAGGCCCTCTGAGGGCTCCCACTTCCTCTGCCAGTACCTGGATGGCCGTGGGCTCCAAGTGGGGTGGTTGCGCTGTTCCCAAGGGTTCCAGATCGAGGGGAGGGAACCTGGCCCAACCTGGGGGGAACAACTTGGCGACCCAGCCCAAAGACGCCATCTAAAGGGCGGACCCTCCTATCCAAGGATAGACCTCCCGATGGGGCACAGCCCTCACTGGGGAGCATATGTCCTTGGATATGAGAAGGCTGGCTCCAGCCTGGGGACGCCCAACCCGAGACACAGCTCTCAGGGGTGCGTCTGTGGGACGGTGGGAGTGTGTGGGGGTACACGGCCATGTTCTGCTGGTGGGCGCTGAGGAACCGACTTCAGACACTGAGGCAGATGGGGTTCAGGCAGGATCTGGAGCTCTGGGCTCTGGCCCTGGAAGCTCCTGTCAGGGCGCTGGAGCAGCTGTGGGGCTGGCACTCAGCACTCCTTCCCGCCCAGTGTCTCATCAGGGGCCTTTTTCCTGGCAGCTCTCACGCCCCTGAGCAGCCCCCGCAGCTCCCTCGCTTGGGCTTCTGTATAGAGCAGAGATTCTTGAGGGCTGATACACTTTTTTTCTTTTTGGGTCACACCTGGAGATGCTCAGGGGTTGCTCCTGGCTCTGCGCTCAGGAATTACTCCTGGCAGTGCTTGGGGGACCATATGGGATGCTGGGAATCGAACCTGGGTCTGTCACATGCAGGGTAAACACCCAATCTGCTGTACTATCGCTCTGGCCCCTGATAACACTTTTAAGCTCCCTCTAGGACTGTTTCCTGGGAGCTGTTTGCTGGAATGATATGGGGATAGTAACAGCTTTGGGTGCAATGGGGAGCACTTTTGGTTTGCTAATTTAAAAGGCAGATTTCTGGGGGGGTGGGGGGTGGGCACTGGTTATTGATCCTCAGAAGTGGGTGCTAGTAGATTTTGAAACTTCAGCTCTGAAACTTCAGTGACTCCTGGGAGTTCCCTGATGCTCTGGCAGTGCTCAGGGCTGACTCCTGGTTCTGTGTTCAGGGCTGACTCCTGGCAGTGCTGAGGACCGAACCGGGTGAGACAAGTGACTTACCTGCTGTAAGTCTTTCAGTTCCAACGTTTTGGTTTTTGGGCCAAACTCCCCATGGTACTATGTGGTGCAAGACACAGCCCGCCACCTCAGCCTGTGGCCCTGTCTCCCAGGGCCACAGCAGACTGTTGCAGGAGGCGAGGGGCAGGGAGGGCCAGGCAGGGGCACCTGCATGTGCAAAGGCCCAGGATTGGGTTGTCGAGGTTTGAGGAAGGACTTTGCCAAGGCGGGGGGATGTGTGGGTGGGTGGGTTCTGTGTTGTTGAAGGCACAGAGTTGGGGGCGTGGGTCGGTGCCGGTGGGAAGGAGTTTGAAGTGAGGAGCAGGGCCAAGTTTTAGAGCCCTCTGGGCTCAGCCCTCTGCACCTACAGATCTGGAGTCAGAACCAAGAGCCCCGCCCGGCTCTGGAGAGGCTTCTTAGGCCTGGGGGCAGGCAGGAAGGGGGCTGTGGCAGGGCCCCAGGAGCCTGGTCCCCTGTGGGGTCGCATATGAGTTTGGTGAATGTCCAGTGCTGCACCTGTCAGAGGCAACAGCTGAGGCCCAAGACCCCCTAGGCCCCAGAGGTTGTGTGACCCTATGTTTACGAATAAACGTGGGACCCAGGCAACTCCCCCCCAGGGAGCCCCGTGAGGGCATGATCACTGCTCTGAAGTGCTCGGACTTATCCTGTAAGTTTCAGAACCAGCCTGGCCTGCCTCCCACTTCTCAGGAACAAATAATCAGTGTCTCCCTGGAAATCTACCCTTAAGTGAACAAACAGGAAGTGCCCCCCACCCCCACGGCACCCAAAGCTATCACTGTCCACAGGAGGCTTGGCTACCGGTGCCCCCAGCCCCAGGATTGGCTTAGGTACCTGGATGCCCCCTCTTGAGGTGAGAACCCCATCTCTCCTGACTCCGGGCCCTTCCCCTGCTGGAGTGAGCCCCCACCTCACCCCCAAGTTCACACCACACCACATCCTTTTCCCTTTTTTTTCCTTTTGTTTTTTTCTTTGTTTCTTCTCCCATTGTCTGTCCTCCTGGCCACAGCCCTGAGCAGGAAATTTTCCAGCCACCCATGCCTTGGTCCCTCCTGTCCCGAGGTCCAGCCTTGGTCACATGACCGTCTCCCACTCTTCTTGCAGCAGGGCCGGGGGCCGCTCGGGCCCAGAGGCCTCTTCGTCCAGTCCAGAGCAGGAGCCGTTGAGAAACCCATCGTCCTTGGGCGTAGCCAGGGCAGGGGGCGTGGTCTGGGGGGCCGGGGCCCCTGGTTTGGCCAGGCCAGGCAGCTGGGGGTGGCCGTTGGTGGTGGCGGCAGGCAGTAGGCGGGGGCTGAGGGGCAGGCCGAGGCCCGTGCGGGGGCCCACGTTGGTCACACTCGTGTGGGACACCATGGGGCCGTAGCTGTAGCTACTGCTTCCGCTGCGGGCCTTGCGCTTGAAGTCCAGGGCCAGTGTCCAGCGGCTCCAGGATTTCTTGATCTCAGCCTGCACCTGGAATGGCAGTAGGAGGGTGGGCGGTCAGGTGAGGCCTCAGTAGTACCCACATTCCTGTCCCTGTCACACCCAGCTCTGAACGGAAACAGAGGCACGACACTGTTACGGGGCAATTCCAAGGCCCGGTGAAACGCTGTCCCCCTCAGGTCACTGACACACCCAGGGAGGCCCCACTAGCCCCAGAGGCGGCTGAGCCCTGTGATCTGGAAAAATCCAGAAGCTGTCTATGGCCGAGATTCTAGACCCTGACAGACCCGGAGCGGGAACCCTCTGGCCAGACGAACCTCTTTGCTTTCACCAGGTCCTTCCTCCCGAAGGACCAAAGAATCAGGCAGAAGAACAGGGGGACAGGATCTGGGGCTCCCCGTTTCCCCCTGCCCTGTCCTGCCCCCGCCCACCTCCTCACCTCGCCGTTGCAGAAACAGTATATGATGGCGACAAAAAATCCCTGTGGGGAGAGATTTGTGGGTCAGGCCCCTGAGCCCGCCCCATGCCCAGCCCGCTGCCCCGCCAGACCCCACACCTGGAAGGAGTTGAAGAGCATCTCGTAGTGCATTTGGATTTGCCAGAGCGTCCCTGAGACCTCGGTGTAGGGCGTGGCGATGAAGACGATGTAGTGCACACCGAAGAGCGGCATGAGCACCAGCGTGGATTTGAGCAGCTTCCTGCACGGAAGGGCAGGGGTCAGCGCCCGGCCAGCCCCTCGACCACCGTACCCGCCGGGCCGCCATAGGGGGCCCAGCCTCTGGCTGCCAGCAGAAGATGGCACTGAGGGCCCTAGGCTCCAGGGGTCCTGGAGGGGAGCGCAGGTCACAGTCACACTGTCCCAGGGCCCCGTGCTCCTGTGGCCCTGTGCTGGCCGTCGGCCCCAGGGCACTCACCCCACTACCCCCAGCCCACTCAGGCTGCAGCTCATCCAGGCCCGGCCCACAAGAGCCCGTCAGAGGAGTTGGGCTGGCTCCCCTTCATGGGTGCCTGGGAACTGAGGCACAGGGTGGCTTGGGGAGATTGAGAGCCCATCCCCTGGCTCAGAGCCGGCCAGCTGGGTGGGCAGCCAGGATGGGTGTGGGGCCCTCCCCGGAGACGGTGTGGGGGGGTGGCGCCGTCACTCAGCCTGAGCCGGGCAGTGTGGCTCACCCACCGGTACTGCTGGCGCGTGTCACACCGGCCGGCGTTGGTCTCCCGCAGCTTGGTGGCGAGTACCCGGACGATGTTGATGAAGAGGATGAAGTTGAGCTGGGGTGAGGGAGGGCTGTGTTTCCAGGCTGCACCCCAGCAGGGTGGGGGCAAGGCGGGGACGCCCCCCTACTCCACCCAGCCTAGGCTGTTTGGCCACCCCATCTCTAGGGGACTCTAAGAAACTGTGTTTCCCTAGCAGAACTGGGATGGGGGATCACTGGTCCTTGGGCCCTGGTATTCTGATCCTGGGGTCCAGTGGGGGCCTCTAGAAGTTCCTATCAGCCAGGAAGGTCCCTGGAAGCCAGGGGTCACATGCCCACCCAGCCCTGTGGCCACCCCGCCCCGCTCACCACAATGGAGGCCAGGATGGGCACCTGGATGATCCACTTCTTGTTCCCAGAGCTCAGGTCCCAGCACCTGGGGGAGGTTGAGGCATCAGCCCCACCCTTGCTGGCCCCTCCCTGGGTCAGCCCCGCCCCTGCTGGCCCGGCCCTGTCCAGCCCATGCCAGCCCAGCGAGGCCCCCGAGCCAGGCTGCTCTGGCACAGACTGTGGGGCTCAGAGAACAGTATGGGGGTGCTCGAGTCAGAGGCTACCCTCAGTGGTCTCTCGGGAGCCACTTCACCACCCTGAGGAGGCACAGAGGGGACGCTGAGGAGGGTCCACTGGGCATTAGGATAGGGCTCTTCCCTTGTTTGCTTCCCACGGGAAGAGGGTGCAAAGGTGTTTCTGGTCTGAATCCAAACCCAGCCCCTTGAATCCAAACTTGCTCCACACATACCCAGTGTTGGCCAGCGTGGCCCTCACGCTGACCCACACAGCCACGAAGATGGCGGGCACACCTGTGGACACAGAGGGACAGTGTGTGAGGGACTGCCTGGCCGGGTTGGCCAGGATGGCTCGCTCCACCCTCCTCACTCCTCCCATCCCTGAGGTCCCTCAGCTGTCCCCTGTGCCTCCCCTCAGCCCTCTGCCCTCCCTCTATTCCATGGCTCTTACAGTGGCCAGGCGTGCCCATCAGGCCCTTTGACGACAAGGCAGCCTTAACTTCAGCCCCAGCCCAGATCCCATCACCAAGTGGCATCCTCCAGGATAGGAACACTACAGGGAGGAGGCATTTTTCTGTCCCAGGGCTGCCCTGTCCCCACCCAGTTCCAAAGGTCCTAAGGCCCACACATGAGGCGACTCAGGTGAGGACTGTCCTTCCAGGTGGGCTACCTGTCCAGGGGAACCAGGGCGGAGCCAGCTCAGGTGATACGAGCACCTCTCAGTAAGCTTTTCGCTGGGAAGGAGCTCCAGGTCCCCCTACACTCTGCTCATCTGAAGCACCGTGCTCCCTTGGGAGAATCAGGGCCTGGCCTGGCTCTATGGTGAGAGGAAGCTGCAACAGCCCCAGGCCACAGAGCTCTGTGTGTGCCCCAGCACTCTCTAGCACCCCGGCACTCTCTAGCATCAGAACCATCGTCAGATCCTGAGAGCAGGTTCAGGACATCCGAGTCTGACTTTCCATGGGGGCAGTGAGTGAGGTCTAGGTCCCCGGGGGTGGGCCAAGGGCAGGGAGGTGGTGAACAGACATCAGAGGGCTGCTGGGTGCTGAGTCTGGGAGGGCTGCAGCCACTGGGCCTACCCCTCGGCAGCCTGGCCCCTTGCCCCGGAGCCAGGCCAAGCTCGGGAGCTGCCAACAATAATGGACAATTATCAGTAATTCTATCCCAGAGCCCAGGGGTCAGAGCAGCCACCCATTCTGCAGGGGGTTGGATATGAGAGCCTGCAGGCTCAAGAGGCTGGGCCTGGGCAGGGTAGCTGCCACCCATTGAGGGGATGGGTGGGAAAATAGGAATGAAGAGACTCTAAGACCCCAACTCTTGCCATATCCTCTGACCTGACATCCCCTGTTTACCCTGACTTGAGCCTTATTGCTGGTGGGGTTTGTCTGTCTGTTTTGGGGCCACACCCAGCAATGCTCAGGGGTTACTCCTGGTTCTGCACTCAGGAATCAGATATGGTTGCCTGGCTATGTATAGGGGACCATATGGGATGCTGGGATTGAACCAGCAAGTGTTATACTATCACTTACATATGCTCTACTATATAGAGAGCATATATATGCTATGCTTATAAGCGCTGTGCTCCTGCTTCGAGTACAGGCCTACCCCTCTGGTACCATCTTTCCCTGAGCTAAGCCTAGTTCCAAGAGTTCCAACTCCCTCTCCTGGGCCCAAATCCGGGTCTGTCTGCCTCTAGCTGATCCCCAGCTCCAAGCCAGGGGTGACCGGCTCAGAGTCACAAAGGGTGGACAGGTCTGGGGCCAATGTACTGGGTGGGTCCTGAACCATCGAGTACTGCCTGACCCTGTTCTCCAGGGCCCCCCTCTCCTGCCCACACCTCACCACCCACCAAATCTGCGTACCCCAACCGAAGACTGTGAAGCCCCACAGGTACTTCTTCTCTGAGAAGAAGGCCATGAAGATGAGGCTGTGTAGGTACAGCCCCTCCACCAGGATCCAGTAGTAGTTGGTGGCCAGGAAATAAAGGAAGAAGGTCACCGCCACCCTGCAGCCCGCCTAGGAGAGCAGATAGTGTTAGCCACGGGTAGAGCCTGTGTCTGGGAACAGCAGGGCTGGCTGGGGATGTGGGGATGCTTGGAAGATGGAACAAGTGAGGCAAGCTGAAAAAAAGGGGCAGGCCAGGGCAGGCATGGGGAGGCGGGGAGGTGGGGTGGTTTGGAGAACGGGGCTGAGGCAGGAAATGGGACTGGCAGCAGGGCTGAAGGGTGTGAGGGGCACTGAGGTGGGTGTGGGTGGCAGGAGCTAATGGTCACAGGAGACAAGGATGCTGGGGCTGGGATGGAGTTGTAGGGCGCACACAAAGCCGGAGGTGAGCAGGTCTCCCGTGCCCCGACCCGAGAGGGCACTCACGTAGCCGGTGGTGGCGGCGGGTGGCGGAGGTGCCTGGGCGATGGTGCGCAGCTCCTCCTCCGTGAGACGCTCGGCCTCATCCAGCGTGGCACCCGAATAGAGCACCGCGTCCTTGACGAAGATGCTCACGGCGCGCAGCATAAAGGACAGGAACAGGTGCATGTGGATGTAGTTGCGAGTGCAGTGCAACCGCCTACAGGGCATGCAACGTCGCCATGGGTGGGCAGGAAGCGGGACCGTGAGTGGAACAAGCAGCAGGAGTGGGGGACCCAAAGAGGGGGCGTGGTTAGCAGCCAGCCCCAGCCCCGCCCTGCTCCCGCCCTACCTTCTTCCATCCTTCGGCTTCCATCAACCACCCCATGCCTGTGTCCTATCTCCTCCCTTCCCAGCACTCCCTCACTCCACCTCCTTGCACCCCTCACAACAAGTCATGCCCTGTCTCTCCTCCCGGCACGCCAGGCCTTTGATCCACCACCCTCTGCCCCCATCCTGCCTCCTCTCATCACGTTTCGTCACTGATCCGTCATGCCCTGCCCTGCCCCACCTCCTCCTATCACACATCACCGGAGCCACCATGCCCCACCCCGCCCCGCCTCCTCTGATCATGCTCCGCCCCTGATCCGCCATGCCCCGCCCCCACCCCACCTCCTCCTATCACACTCCACCCCTGACCCGCCATGCTCCGCTCTCACTCCACATCCTCCTATCACACCCCACCCTGAGCCATCATGCCCCGCCTCATCCCACCATGCCCCGCCCCAATCCACCATGGCACGCCTTCATCCCACCTCCTCCTATCACACCCCGCCTCTGATCTGTCATGCTCCGCCCTCACTCCACCTCCTCCTATCACACCCCACCCTGATCTGCCATGCTCCGCCCCATCCCACCCTGTCTCCTCCCACCATGCCCCGCCCTCATCCCACCTCCTCCTATCACACCACGCCTTTGAACTGCCATGCCCCGCCTCCTCCTACCATGCCCCACCCACCTAAAGTAAGCCAGGATGAGCACTGCCACGGTGAGGGAGGCCAGCGACACGGAGTAGCCCACGGTGTAGATCATGCCCAGGCGGTCAAACACCTCCTGTGACGGTGAGGAGACACCCTCAGGACCCTGAGACTTGAGTGTGTGCATCAGGTTATGGGGTATAGTCCAGGCTGAGGTTACTAGAGGAGTCAGCGTTAGGTCAGGGGTCACCATGGGGGTGGGGGGCACGGACGGCCTTATCCAGGCAGTTTGGTGAAGGCGAGGGCTCGTACCCGTTCACGAGTCTCATTGGTCAGGAACTTGACGCACTCGCTGTAGTTGGCCCATGTCCGGTTGTGCCCGGGCACTAACTCCCAGCTCCCGTTGCGGTCACAGCGCCGGTAGGCATGGCCTGCAGGTGTGGGGAAGGGGCAGGGCAGGCAGAACAGTCTGAGGGCCTGAAGCCCTGAGCTCTAAGGTCCCCCCTTCCCCTCCAATCCACCTTACCCTTGTGATTGAAGTCATAAATATAGTCAGGACAGGGCACCGCCACCACCTCGCCTGGTGCCCCCAGTGGCCAGCACAGGATGTGGTCCCACTCAGGAAGGCAGGGGCGCCCTGTGTCCAGAGAGACAATTGTGGGGGTCACCAGACCAGTTGGTGATGAGTGACCCAGCAGGATGAACATGCTTGTGTTGTCAGCTCTCAGGGAGAGATACACCCCAAGACCAGAGAATTCAGATGTTCCAGAATGTGACGACCCCTTCTGCCCTTTTGTATCTGTGCCCTAGTCTCTGTGGGCAGGTATCGCACTCACCCTACTTTCTGGATTGGCTGGCAGGGGTGAGGCGAGCGACTTGCTGAAGTGATCCAGCCCAGGGCCTTGCTTTCTCAAGTAACTTCCTCAGCCCCAGCCCCTTTTTCTCTTGTTTCCACTTTCCAGGGGCCGTGGAGTAGGGTAAGTTTCTAAGCTGACTCTACTGAGGATGAGTCTTGATGTGACCCTTGCCTGGTTCTGTGGTCAGGAGGCAGAGCTGGGCTTCCTGGGTCAACTGGATGCTCCATGAGGCACCTGTCCCCCTCCTTGCACCTCACTTCCTTCCCTGGGGAGCTGGGATTGACCACACCTGCCTGAGCTGGCGCCGTCTACCAAGGTCCTGCCTGAACACCTGCTGTCAGATTCCAGCAAAAGACGTAAGCCTCTAAATGTAGGTGGGTCTCAAGGCAGGGTGGCATGCTGTTCCATTTTGGGCCCCAGCCTCACAGCTCCTTGAAGGGTCCCCAGCCACTGAATTGTCCATGTGCCACCGCCTGCCCCCAGCCCCCTCCGGTCCCTCTCAGGGGTCCAACCACAGGACTCTCCAGCTACCCTGGAAAGCTGCCTTTCTGGTTGGACCCACCCCAGATTGGTGAAAGACTCTCTGTCCCGGGCACCATATTCCCAGCTCCGGCTGGCCAGGCCCACAATTCCCTCTGGTCCCTGGGGAGCCACAGGGTGACCACAGCCTCCCAGATGTGGCCCATCTGGAATCTGCTGCCCACCCAGCCGGTTCAAACCGGGCCTGTGGCTGCAGCCTGGGCTCCGTGTTTGTCTGTTCTCACCTCCCCGAGGGACAACAAAGCCCTGAGTCTCCCTCGCTCTCTTCTCCCTTTGTTGTCCCCCATGGCTGCCCCTTAGCTGCTCTGTAGGACCCACCTCACTCTGACTTGGTGACAAAAGGTTTAGGGCCCTCAGCTCTTGCTGCTCTGTCTCTCCCCAGTTCTGTCTGTATGTCTCTGGTTCCTTCTTGGCCCTGGGCCACAAGTTTCTATGTGTCTCTCTGTCTCCGCGAATCGATCCCTGTCCCTTTGTCTCCTGGGTTTTTTTTTTTTCCTCTTGGGTCATACCCAGAGATGCACAGGGGTTACTCCTGGCTCTGCACTCAGGAATTACTCCTGGCGGTGCTCCGGGGACCATATGAGATGTTGGGAATCAAAGCCAGGTCGGCCGCGTGCAAGGCAAACGCTCCAGCCCCCTCTCCTGGAGTTCTGTGTCATCTCTCTCTTTGAGGGGCTGTAGCCCTGGTTCACTCTTGCGGTGGTGGTGAATAAGATCCCTGCCACAGCTCCCAGGGGCTCAGCCCAGCCAGCTCACCTGCCTCCTTACCCCAGTGCCCAGTCTCCTCCCACGAGCCACCGGCTGGGGCCAGGGCTGTGGTCGAGCGGGTCTGCCACTGTTGCCGAGGGGTACATGGAAGCAGTAACGTACCTGGGCGTCTGCTGCCAGGCGGTGACTCCTTGTCCTCCTCGGACTCAGGGTAGGGTTTCCCGGATGTCTTCTCCTTCCTGGGTTTCCCTGATGTGGATGCGGATGTCCACCCCTTGTCGGGTTCCATTATGCTGGCTGGAGACATCAAGATAGGAATGGGTTTCAGTCCGGCCATAGCAGGTGGCCGGGTTACCCGCCTGCCTCAGACACTCCTCGGTACGGTGGAGGTTCTCCCCTAACCTGTGGACACCACAGGCTGTTGGGATGGCAGAGGTGACAGACCAGGAAGAAGGATATAGACGGTAAAGTGCTTGCCAAAAGCAGAAGTCACCGGAGGAGGGGATGGAGCCTGCTGACCAGGGCTTCAGGAGGGAGCGCACACCCTACAGGTGTGGGATCATTTAGTGGGCTGAGAGTGTGGGCAGAGGCGTCTCCCAGCCCAGGAGTCCCAGTCAGAGCCCGTGCAGGAGGCAAAGGCCCCACCAGGGGGCGCAAGGAGAAAGTAGACAGGGGTAATGGCAAACGGGAGACAAAACAGAATGCAGAAAGCCAGGCCCTACGCGCGGAAAACAGTTGCAAGACAGTCAGTCACGGGTGGGCCCCCAAGTCTACCTCTGTCATCCCTTGGCCTAGAGCACTAGAGTACGGGGATCACAGCTGCCATGAGGGAACCTGGAGTTTCTCCATCTGAGCTGGGAACTAGCGTGTCTGCCCTGGAGACAGCTTTGAGGTCCCTCTCCCTGAACTCCCAGCCTTCCCATGTCATGGCCTCAGTGGGATGCTCAGTGGGCATGCCCTGAAGCTGGCAAGGAATGGCAGTGCCCTCTGCCCCTGCTGTCCCCGAGGCGAGGGTCAACAAAATGGGCAGAGCGGGAGGAGAGGGCCTTCACTGTGAATAGAGCCGGGGGTGAGCCTCCAGGCTTCCATGAGCAAGAGGACTGGATTTACGGCCCAGAGTGAGGGGGCCTAGCTGAGCCTCCCCTGACCCTCCAGGCCCTGATGTGGCCGGGGACCAGGGAGTCGCTGTTGGAGCTGACATGGGTGGGCTGTGACTGCACAGGCTACGTGAGGCCACGTGCCACAGGGCAGGGGCCACAGTGTGCTGGCACCGGGTCGCTAAGCATCAGCAGGGAAAGCACCCACTGCAGGGTGCCAGCCGCCCTTGGCGGGGTGCTCGGTTGGGATTGGGGCTGCTTCCCGGCTGCTGAGATGAACCAGGTATCAGAGCCCTGGGTCGGGGTTAGTAAAGCCCTGCCTCTGCCTTCAGGAAGTGGACTCAATGAAGAAACCAGCTTGAGACAGCGTGTAGGGGAGAAGCTGTGAATGGGGGAGCTCCCAGTGCAACCTCATGGGGGCAGGGGTTCCTTCCCCGGGGGTCCACGACTGACCAAGTCAGGTACTCGCCCCTATTTCCTCTATTCCCTCTCCCCCTCCAGCCCCGGGGACCTTTGGTCTCCTGATGGTGGACAACTTCTGTCTTGCCCTCTGTGCAGGTGGCCTCCTTCTGGAACTCCCTTGCATATCTCCTCCTCCAGGAAGCTGTCCCAGCCCACCCCACTGGAGATGTCACCTGATCAATGCTCAGGATCCTAACTTCTCTCACCAGCTCTAACCCAATGGCGATGGCCGGGTGGTTGGAATGCAACTGTTTCAACACTCGTCCCCCCCCCCCCCCCCACACACACACCACATGCCCCCCAGGGAGGCTCAGCACATCTCTGAGTGCACTGACTCACTGCACCCTGGGTCCTCACTTTGACCTGGCTCCCCATGACCTGCTCTTACCAGGGCCTGGTACCCTTCACTTGACCTCCAGCCCCCCTCCACCCCTCCCACCTTCTCCTGGCCCCACCCCGCCGATGCAGGCCCCGCCCCGGCCCCGCCCCCACCTGGCCTCTGCTGGACTTCTTTGAGCTTCTTCTCACACTGGGCCTGGGCACGGTGCAGCAGGAAGATCTGCTCCTCTTTGGTCATGACGTCATCTGCGTCCACCTACCAAGCCAAAAGTCAGACCGCTGGCCTGGCGGGACTTCTCCGGACTCAGGGACAAGTCCCACAGCCACCTCGGCCTCCCTGACTCTGGAATGCGGGACATCTGCACTAACCAGCTCTGCTTTACTGTCCTCGGAAGGGTAGGGTGGCTGCCCTACCCGACCCGACCCGACCGGAGTGAGATGGGGGAGGGGGCTGTTCCCCTGCCTGTCCGCACGTAACCCAGGGGCCGTAGCCGCTATTCTCTGTGTAGCCCTTCCCCAGGGGCCATGGGAAGGGATGGAATGTCCCAGGATCCTGGCTGCCTGCTGGGGACCTGGGTGGGGAACAGGCTGCAGAGTGGGGAGCTCTGGGGAAATAGTCCCGACCTGGTTTCCTTCCACGTTCTGGTGTCCTGGGGGCCGGGGGGATCTTGGGAGTCACCGATTTCCGTCCTGCCCAGCCACTGTTTCCCCAGCAAATGCCCAGAGCCTCAGCCCCTCCCACTCCTGCAGTCCCCAGAGGGCCAGTATGGGGAGCCGCTGGCCAGTGGTGGGGTGGGCGGGGCACTCCCATGCGGGCTGTGGGTGAGAGTGCCCCAGCTTATCTGAAGCACCTCCTCCAGGTGGACCCTGTGCTCTGAGAACCAGCCCTCCCCCTCTGCCTGCAAAGCCCTTCCTTCCCTTCCTCTAACCATCACACCCTGGCACTGACTGCCGCCTAGGACTCAGGCAGGGGCCAGGGGTTTCATGGTGGGAAATTAGAGGCTGGTTATTAGAAGCTCAGGGGCTGGGGGGTGGGGGTGGGGGTGGGGTGGAGGAGTGTCTGAGGGTGGAGGCTGCGGCATCCGGGAACAGCTTACTGTGCCCAAGCCCAGGCACTCCCCTGAGTGGGACCCACAAGCAGTTAGTTAATGCATCCTCTCAGGTCCCCAGGACATGGCCATATCCCCAAAGACTTCTCAGTGTCAGGGCAGGGCTGTGCCTGCTTGGATGACACAGCAGGACACAGCCCCGTCCCCCCGGATTCTCCGCAGGCAAAGCTGCGTCCTCAAGATGTCCATGGACAGCCCTGGGGCTGGTCATCTGCGTAGGGTTTTGCAGGGCTGGAGAGCCAGGAGGAGGCTGGGAAGTAAAGAGGCCAGTGCGCGGAATGGGCGGACACTAGCGGGTGGGGGCGGGCTGCCGGCCTGCCTGCTGGTCAGGGAGCCTGGCTGAAGGGAGAAGTTAATTGACCGCGTCTCTTGGTGGCAGCGGCGAGGGCTTCCAGGGCCAAGGAGTCTCCGGTTCGGCCGGACTCGGGCTCTGCTGGTTTCACTTAACAGAGGCGGGCGCGTGTGCTGTGCGCAGGCATGTGAGCCGCCGGGCAGCCCGAGGGAGCCGTGCACATGGCTGGTGTGTGCACGGGCATGCGCCCTCTAGAGGCACGGGGACGTGGGGATGAGGAGGTATGCACATCTGGGAAGCGAGTCCGAGGTGTCTGGGAACCCGTGTGGGGCCACGCTTGTGCGTCCAGGAGCGTGAGGTGCCCTGCTAGGCGGTGTCCTGTCTGGGTGTCCGTGCGTCTCTGCCTCTGGAATCCACGCTGCACCCAAAGCCCCTGATTGCCCCCCAGGGAAGAGCAAACTCTCGTGTGCTCCATGCTGGCCAGAGCTCTCCCCCATCCATCTCCCAGCTAGGCTGAGCAGGCTGTCAGGCAGAAGGAGCTGCCCGGGGCTAGACTGAGAAAGGACAACTTGGGTCTGTTCCACGGCTCATGGGAAGTTCTCTTTGTGCCTCTGGCAATCAGGGTTCAGGATTTTTTTTTTTCTTTTTTGGATCACCTGGCGGAGCACAGGGGTTACTCCTGGCTTTGCACTTAGGAATTACTCCTGGCGGTGCTCAGGGGACCATATGGGATGCTGGGAATCAAACCTGGGTCGGCCGCTTGCAAAGCAAACACTCTACCCACTGTGCTATCGCTCCAGCCCAGGGTTCAGGATTTTGAGAACTCTAAGTTCTATGTATCTGCCACGTCCAACACTATTTCCTGTCATAGCACCGTACTGCTGCCACCACTGCACCTGGTGCCTCCCTCAATAACCACCACCACAGTCTCCACCATCACCCCCATCATCACCACCGTCCAATGGTACTACCTGCAGCATCACCAAGCAGCTGCAGCACTATTACCACCACGAGCACTTACGACCGTTACCAGATAGACCATGACCACCCTCCCACTGGGAGACCCTCAATCTCATCACCGTCCTCATCACCACCAGTGCAGCCCTGGGGCCTTTGTAGCAACCACCACCAGCACCACTGCTACCAAAGACATAGCACCATGGTAAATTACCACCAACCCCATAACTTCTCCCAGCACCTTTGCCATCTTTGAGTCCTTCCTCCCTTCCCACACATCCTTCCCCACTATCTCCTTTTTATTTTTTTGCCTCCATCCCTCTCAAGATAAATAATGCACCACAATTTCCCATATAAAGAGTGCCGGAGTGACTGACCAAGGCTTCCTTCAGTCTCCGAAGTTAGACAGATACACTACTCTTGCAATGGACAAAACGGCCCACGGGTGTGCATGTGGGGAGGGTCTTTGCTAATGGCTTAGAGTCGCCGCATGCAGTTATGGGTTGAAACTGCCCACGTGGTATACCTGGGTGAGACCAGAAGCTAACCACAGGCCCAGGGTGTTTGCCTGAGCACCCCCCTACTGCTGTTACCTTTACCCGCTACATGGCCAAGAGGTGACACCCCATCTTCTCTCATTTCCATGGTGAGCCTGGGAAGGCTCATTAACTTCCAGCACCCAATGGCCATCCTTCAATTGTCTGCAGAGACGATAGCTCCTTTCACCTCTCTGAACTGCAGGGCTCATTTATCTGTCTCCCACTCATGGCAGAAGTGCCCTTGTAGCCGGGGGGATTCGAGGAGAAGGAGGTGCTTCCCTGGGGAGCGGGGGGCGGGGCTCTGGACCAGGTGCATTCCACTTGCCCTGGCATGTAGCTCCCCTTCCTGGGATGCACCCCCACCCCTCCTTATCCAAGGAGATGCTGTGGCCACCACAGACGGGCTTTATGTTTCAGCGAAACTGCTTAACCCTATGCATTCCAGCCTTCCACCTATAAAATCAGGTTAGGACAGGACTTATTTTTTTGGAGGGGGTAACAAACCTGGGAGTGCTTGGAACCTGGAAGTGCTGGGGTCATTCCCAGTGGCGCTCAGGGGACTACGAGATGCTGGGGTGGAACCCAGGACTCCCACATGCAGACCATGTGCTCCAGTCCTTTGCACTTTCCCTGGCCCTCGTGACGGCACTTCTGTGAGGACTAAGGGAGGGGCTGCACAGAGAGCCTGGGGAGGGCTGGGCCCATGTAAGGCAGGTCGGCTGCTAGTCTCCTGTTTCCCCAGCAGCAAGTCAGGGCTGCCCCCTCCGGTCACTGCCAGGCAACATGGGGATCCTATGAGTGGCAGGAGGCTGCGGACCCAGAGTGGCAGGGCACGGGGTAGGCAGGTGTCCAGGTCCACACAGGAGGCCCCACGGAGGAGGGGAAGAGGGAGGAGGGGGGCTGCTGATGAGGTACATGGTGCTTTTCCCGGTGGCTGGGAAGCCCAGTGACTGGCTGCATTCTGGGCAACTTGCTCAGCTGGTGCTACGATTCAAGGTCACTGTAGGGCCCCCCAAGCTTGGACTGGGGGAGGGGTCAAACGGTCTATCCTCTGCCTGTGTTGAGAAGGATCATCAACGGGGAGTGAAGAGGGGACTAGGGGAATAGCCCTACTCTGACCGTCCTCCAGGCCTGGGGCTGCTGCCTCCCTCTCCCCTACACACGAGGGTCTTTGCCCAGCACCTGGGAATTCTCAGGCTCATATTTTAGATCCGGAGTTCATGGATCTTGGATCTCTGGTGAGAGGACAAAGGACCTGGGTTGTGAGCCGGGGATCCACACCCACCTCTTGGGGGGACCTGTCCAACCTTGGCACCATCACCAGATCTCCTGCACTCCACCTCTGGGAAGCTCTGGGTTACAGCCCAGTTTCCTCTCGCCTGCTTCAAGATGCTCCCACTGCACCCTACACTTCCCCCATTCACCTACACCCCTGCCCCCAAAACATACATGTGCATGATGCAGGGGTGGGGTGCTGGCCTAACTTGGCCCTGCACTGGGGGAACAATTAATCCACAGCCTGGGAGCTGGCACTGGGCAGGACACAGGTGGGGACTGTGGCCAGTGTGTTATTTACAAACACAGAAGCTGCTGTCCCAGCACCCCGAGGAGTATGTGGTCGGAGTCCCGGATGTGTTTCTCATTTCCTGAGTTCAGAAGCCACGACCAAGAAAAAAGCCATCTGCTCATCCCTCCCCCTGGGGTGGCTGGCGAGTCGCATCTTGGGGTTCTGTGCCCAAAGTGACTCCTCCCCACTGAGGGCATGGCAGAAGCTGGGGTTGGCAGGATGGTGGGATGCGGGTGAAGACAAATTGGGGTGGCAGTGTCCAGGCTGACGGCAGAGAAGTGAGGCACTCTGGGAGCCAGTTCCTTGCCATGGGGCCCAATTCCTCCCCTTCCTGCCAAATTCCACACATTTGGGGCCTGTTTTCCCAGGCAGGCCCCAATCCCCTGCTCTAGGGGAAACCATGCAGAAAGCCAGGGACCCTTTTTCAGCTGCTGACCTCGCTGTTCTGGCTCCTTCCTCTGTCCTCTGCCTGGACCAGCCTATGGCCCTGTGGCAGGTACTCTGCTCGCCTCTGGAAAAGGCACCTCTGCCTGGTGGGCATCCCTGGATGTGCTCAGACTCTGGCATATGACTGTTCCTCTGACTGCTGACTCCAGTCAGGAGTCCGGGGCTTTTGGTTGGGGAAGGGAGAATGTGTAGAAATAAGGGGTGCTTCCCAAGAATAGCCGAGATAAGTACCAGGAGGTTCACTCCATGGCTTGGAGGCCAGCCGCACATGCTGGGGGAGAAGGCAGCTCAGATAGAGAGGGGAGCACCAAGGAAAGGGTGTTGGGAGGATCCTCCCAGGATGAG